AGTGTTAATAGTGAAGGTTGTGTGTCAGCTTGGCTGGGCCATAATTCTACTAAGTGGCTTAGCAATTATGATGTAGTCATCCCCCATGATGACATCTGATATGATGAAATCAACTTGATGATTAAGATCTGCTATGAGGAGTCAATCAGTTGAAAGGGGGTTTCTTCAGGGTATGGCCTGCTTTTAATATATACGGAAAAGCTCTGGCAAAGCTCTCTTAACCTTTTGCTCAATGTTGGTCCTGTATCTGATTCATCATTATCTCCAATTCCTGGACTTGAACCAGTCATCTCCCATATTGCCTGTCAATCTTGGGATTGTTGCCTTTGCACTTTGTGAGCCAACAGCCTACTAACTTACCTGTTAATTTTGGATTTGTCAGCCTCCAAATCTAGCAGCCTGCTGATTGTCAGCACCTGCAGCTACATGAATCAGGAGAAGCCTCCAGCTTGATATCTGACCCATAGACTTGGGACCTGCCAGCTTCTACAACTGTGTGAGATATTTCCTTGAGGTAAACCTCTCTCTCCCCCTCTCCATACATATATATATATATATCTACATAAGCTTCATTGGTTTTGCTTCTGTAGAGAACCCAGCCTAAGACAATCAGTGTGTTCAAGATTAACAGGAAGAAAACCCAGTAACAATTCAGATCATTTTATTCCAGAAAACAATTATAGAAACTAACTTTCCTTTTTCAAAACTCAATTAGGTGTGTGTATGGTCCATTGGTATCCAGCTTTAACACCTGCCTGTTCCCGTAAGTGCCGTGTTCCACCACAACTCCAGCTTCAGCACACTTGCTGTTAGCAGCTATTTCTTTTTCACATAGAGTCACAAACTGGGAATAAAGTTCTAACCCTTCTTCTTTTCCAGAGTTAGAGTGATATTGCATGTTTCTTCCTTTCACCTTCCCCCCAAGAGTGGCTTGAGGAATGATAAGAATGTTGCCAGGTAGATCCAATATAGAGACGAACTTGCCATTTTCTGTCTCACTTAACTTCACATTTAATAGTGTATTAACTGAGTAGGAAGAAAGGAAAAACAATCTAAAGTGAAAAACAAACAAAACGATAATCTTTTAGCTAATCAACAAATCTCACGTTTCACACTCAAGTGTCAGTTCATGCTTTTTACCCAAAGTCTGTACTTAGATTTTGAAAATAAATATTTTATTATATTTTAGGTGAAAATTTATCCAGCAAATTAGATTCACATTCAATTCATACACAAATTGTTCTGTGACATAGGTTACAATCCTTGCAATGTGTCAGCACTCTCACCGTTTCTACCTCGCCTGCCCCATGTCCATCCATCAAGTTTCCCTGCTCCTACTTGCCTTCTCATCTTTGTTTTTAGGTAAACATTATCCGTTTGGTCTCCTGTAGTTGACTGTTTAAAGGAGCACATTGCTCATGAGTGTGTACTTAGATTTTAAAAACTGTTTCGCTAAGTTAAACAATCTAAGCAAAAATAAGGCAAATTTCATACAGAAAATGGGAAGGTGTTCTAAATTTGACACAGCAATTAAGATAACCTAACATTAACTTCATCCAGAAAGGCTAAAGAATTTACTGTGTACTGGAATCTTAAAATATAGTTGTCCCTGGGATGCCTTCTTGGTTCCTTTTTATGTTTTATTAAGTAAGGCCCATTGGAAAAGGATTATGACAAATCCTCCTCACACCAAACTCTGCTTTATAACAAAGGATATTAAACCAAAATTATAATGCATTTATTATTTTTAATTTAGTTGCCTAGATTTCTATGTTAATGAGATGAGGGTTACAGATTTGTTACCATTATAGACCAGTTGATTTTGCAGTTTTATAACCTCAAAAGCACTATTATCATTATTAAAATGGTTGTAATTATTTTATAAATATAACCCAATGGTCATATTGGTTATATGGGTAAAGTGTATACGGGTAAAGGTATATTTACTCTCAAAGACAAGGATGCCCGCTATCATCACTTCTATTCAACATTGTTCTGGAAGTCCTAGCCAGGGCTATAAGGCAAAAAAGGGAAATCAAAG